CCCCCCCCCCCCCCCCAGATACCAGCTACCTGCATTTTGCATCATTGTGCGTCTATTTCCAATTCTCCCCAATGTCTTTTGGCCTCTCTTGCATGCTGTATTTTCTTACTAGTCTGATAGTAATAGGTATCATATCTATGACCTTCCAGTTTGTAGAGGATTTGGACAGGAGACAATATACAGTATGTAAAGATACTTTTAACTACTCAAACCCCTCAGCTGCTTCATCTAGTTTTAGGAGTAGCTTTCTGAAATCCTTCTGAAGATCTGAATCACCCCCAGATAATCTGAGACCTTATTTATTTTCTAGTCTGGTTGTCCAAAGAAAGGTTTCACAATCTGTAGTTCTTTGGAAACTCTTGGTATTTGGCATCCAGGAACTCCAGTTACTTGTATAAGACAGTGACTGAATGAGGAAATTTTGTCTTTGTAAGATTGCACCTCTCTGTAGACACAATTTACTTCTTGGTACAGTAGTAGAATTTCTAGAAATTGGGAATCGACTTGTATTCTGAACTGCTAAGGGTACAAATCTCATTCAGGACAAGGCAGATAGCTATTGTATGAATCTTGTTGGTACTTCTCCTTAGAATTTATAAGCACTTAAGAGGTTTGCTTCTGCATTTGACATTCCCAATGGTTTTGATAGCTGAGAGTTGAAACAAGGGAAATTTTGTTCTCTTTGGAGCAGGATTCTTTGTCTGTTTTTTATCCCATGGACTTCCTACAACAGGGATCGGTGTATGGTGCTTTCAAAGACCTTGTTCCTTGTTAAAAGACGGTACCTTCTGCAAGGAGTTTGTGTTTTATATCAAACCTTTGATGAAACAACCTGTAAAAATAGCGTCCTTTAAGTCAACTGATTTAAGCATATGATGTGACTAGGATGCATAAGAATAAAGACTGTATCATTAAGTCTTTAACAATTCTCTTAAATTCTTATAGTTTAGCCACTAAAGCCACCTCTACATGCGCAGGTAAAGGCAAGACGGGGTCTAATGTGTGATTCATATAATTGCACTTCCTGCCATGCTACATGTGCATGGCAGGAGGTGTGATTGTGGGATCATGCATTAGATTCAGTCGCTTTGTATTGCCAGTGTAGGGGGAGCCTGATCCTGGGCCCCTCTGCCTCGGCAAGGAACAGGCTTCTATGGCTGGGAGCCCACTTGGCTGAGGGGTCTTCCAAGCATGGGGGCCACATGCAGCTGGGACCCAGAGTTCTGCACATGATGGGGTTCTTATTCCCAGCTGCCCATGTGAACCCTAAGGTTGTGTTGTATCTCCGAGCCTTGGGGTTCATGGCAGTAATGATCCTCTGGGTCCAAGGGCTTCAGGTACCCCCAAGCCTTGGGGATTGTGGCTGCTGTGATCCTCTGGGCTTGAGTGTGTCATGCAGGGCGTGGTGTACCTTTGTGGCTGGGAGGCCTGTCAGCTGATGGGTCCCCCAGCCATAAGGGAGAACCTGCTACAAGTGCACATTAAAGGTCAATAGCAACCTTATATCGTGTTTACACATTTTTGAGGTCTAACTTCATAGCTGGTTGGAGCTTTTTATGGTATGAGCTTTGCATGTGTAGCTGGTTTAAATGTAATTATGTAATTAACCAGTTGATTGTGTGGTACCTTTAATATGTAGCGGGGGCCTTAGTCTCTGCCAAAGATAAATATTAGTTAGGCATCTTTGGAAGTTCTTTATCTGGGAATTGTTTTCCCCTGGTATCTTTTTAAACTCCTGTTCTTGGTTTGGAACCTAAGATGCTTTGTCTCCTTCTACTTAATGAGTATCCATACCCTAGAATTTGTGAACTTCCTGGGTAAACCTTGAATCTGTCCTCAAATAGATTCTGAAAACTTGATCTTTAATGGTGTCCTTGAAAATACAAGTAACAGTGTCTCTGTCAGGAATATAGTGGAGTTCTGTGTAGATGAGCTCTGATTTGGATCTGAGTCCTAGTTACTTGAAGTTTCCAGTGTTTTGGTTGAAATTCAGTTCTAGCCTTTTTTCTTGTATTCTCAGTTTTTCCAGTTTTTTAAAGCAGCTTTTTTGAGAGGGCCATCTGAAGACTAGTTAAATAGTGTGATATCAGGTGATATGTGAACCCTCTATAAATATATGTTGAGTGATGTTTCCTGTGCTTCCTGATGAAATGTTTTTCTGTTAGTGGTTACACTAGCAAGAAGAGTTTTAGAAATTTGGGAGACTATCCATCTGGGATTCTTTTATGCATTTTCTTCTAGTGAGGCACTTTTTTCAGGACTTTACCAGAAGGTTGTAGAGACATAATTGGTTCTTAAAAGAGTTTCCCTTACAGATGTTATATTGTTAAGTTGGAGATATTTATATTTCTTTAAAAAAGCATGTCTGTTCAGAAGATAAACAGTAGTAACCCAGTTGTAGTAGATCATAGGGCACTAAGTACCCAGTTCAGATGGTAACTAAATTTTATTTTTTTACTTAAGTGCTGAAAGAATAATGCAAGAATTAATATTGTGAATCATCCTTCTGATTTCTCTTGTTGGGATAATTTATTGCTCTTAATGTAACTTGGGTTTGGCATGTATGTTATGGCTTGTTTGTGTTTTTAAAAGAATAAAATACAAAAATGGTTTATGTGGTATGCTTAGTGCCAAAAGGGTGAAGTAATTGTATTTAAATTTAGCCTAAGTTACTAAAACTTCCATTTTTTGGAAAAGATGGAAGAAAAAGATTCTTATCCTAACTCATGCAATTTGTATTCTGTCTAATAGGCTGAAAAACAAGCAGAAACTGAAGAGACTACAACAATGGTAACACCTGCCACAGTGGCAGCAACATCCACAGTGACTATGGCTCCAAAAGTAAGCCCTAAAAGAGGAAGACCAGCAGGTAACTTTTTTCATACATCTGACTTAAAATATGGAGGGAGAGAGGCAAATAGAAATTGAGAGGATTTGTGCACAATCAGAAGTATTATACAACATTTGATACCCAGTGCTTAAGGCAAACTTCAAGTCCAAAACAATGTAGTGTTGGGCTGAGATACTCAACACGCAAAATGACTTAAACTCAGATGCTGTGAAACAGATATTAATGCTACCACAGAACTTCCTGGTCTGTTAAGCATCCAATAAGAGTCAATTATTTCTATGGAGCATGGCTTAGCAAAGGTTTATATTTTTCACAAGGGCTTTAAAACTGATACTGAAATGAAAGGGGATTTCTACAAGTAATGATTAAAGGAAAGAGCAGGGGAAGAAGAGAGCATTCTGTAACCTGGTTATTTAAAGTCCCCCTGCATGAAGGAGATGCCTATGGAGGTGCCATTTAGAGCAGAACCAGTGCATCTGTGACACCAGAAAAGGGTGTGCAGTAAACCCAAGAGTTAACTGTGACTGAAGTTACATCAGTTGACTAAAAACCACATGTGCCATGATATAGGACAGCAAGAAAAATACTGCTGTGGGCATAAAAGATTCTGAAATGTGTATTTTAATAATACATGTTTAATAGTATCTGAGACTTATTTCATTTTGCATTAAAACCAACAAGGCTGTATTATTCTGGAAACTAGGAACATTATTCTTAATTTATACCATTTAAGATAATTAAGTAAAAAATGAATGAGCATTTTTGAGTCACCAGTTGCGTTGATACAAGATAAATCTGTGATTAAAGGTTTCCAGAGACGAAACCAAATCATAGGTGTGTGGAGTCAAAAGAAATATAAGTAAGAGGAAAAAAGGTGATGTATAAGAGATCATAGCCATATACTCACATATTAAGGCTTTCACATACTAATCTAGTTATATTTTACATAACATTTGAACACCTTCCAGGAGCACATTAGTCAGCATGACTAACATCAGTCATGTTTGTTCTCCTTCTATTTTTCTTCCCTGGCTACCTAGTGTAAAGTGAGGTATTTTGGGGGTGTTGTTTGTTTTGGACTGTCATGCATATGTTTTTTATATCTTTAGTAGATAAGGCAAGATCAAAAAATGTACCTTGAACCTGGAGAGAGATGCAGTAATCCTGGTTTGCAATAATCCTGGGTTCCTGTGAGAGTTTATATTGCGGTCTTTTAGCCACCTTTTGTTTCCCACACAAATGAGCTTTATCTTTTTAAAGAGGCCATAGTTTCTACTCTGAGAATGTTCCTAGAAGAATGCATTTGCTTTGGAATACCTGAGATGTAAGATGCTGTAGGGAGTGTAGGAGCTATCGGGAACAATGTGGGGTTGGAGGATTTCTTTAAAGAAAATTATAAATGGTAAATATCCCTATTTTGATAAACAGGGAGAATGGAACTATCTGCAAGTCCTGGATAATTTGAAAAATATTGCTGCTAATTGTGCATTATTTGAGGGTGGGAGTTAAAGTATAGCAGGGCTTAATTTATAGGTACTTTATTTTACTTGCTTTTTAGGGTGGGCCATAATTACTTTGCAAATATTCTTGTTGAGCAAAAACTCGTTTTAAAAATCACAGGTTAAAATTATGTTGAAAAATGATTCTTGCAGCAGTTATATATGACTGCACTAGCCTGTGATCTGAGAAATGGATAGTTCATTACTCTGATTCACTTCCATCCATCCAGCAGGCATGATAAAAACAAAACTATTTTTTGAAGCACAGCTATAGCTTAATTAATCTTACACCAGGTTGTTTTTGTTTTTGACGTGAAAACTAGGAAGAAATGGAAGTTGTACCAAACTTCAACCTAAGTCATTCACAATTTCTTCTAGTAAAATATAACTTCCTATTTTATTACTTTTAAAGAGATGGGCAAAATATTTTGAACAGCTGGAAGGCATGAGATTTGAAGTGTATTATTTATACAGAGTAGTAGCAGGAGGCACCTAAGCAACAACATGCTTCTAACACTCCCTGGAGAATCTATTGCTAGGTAACGTGCAGAATCCCCTAGTGGTACTGTAGCATGTGCATCTGTTGCTTAGCAGTTCTTACTGACACTCTCAGTACTTCAAACATTGGGTAGCGTATTTCCTAACAACATGTCCACTGGGAACAGCAGGCCAGTATCTCCTGCCAATGGAGACATGTTTTGCCATTTTGGAGAGGAGTGTATCATGTAAAATGTGCCTATGGTACAGTATTTTAAGGGTATGAATACTAGAAAAGTAGTGAAACTATTTAGCGTATCATAATGGAAGTAAGACAATGTTATGTTGTCTGTATTTCTCAAAGTACTTGCCCCTAACCGATATCCAATAATATTGTGAAAGATCACTTTCTCTTTGGGATTTTGGATTCTGTAATACAGGACATATTAAACTCATACTAGCAAGTATACTGTTCTGAACAGTTGTGTTCTTCCTGGGAATGAGCTGGATAATTGAAGTAATTTTCACTAAATTTCTGAGTCTGTTATTCTCTAGCTGTTCCATAATTAAAATAATAGACAGACAGCAACAGGAGATAGGTCACTCTTAAAGCGCACAGAGAAAAAACAATGGGAATCACTGCATTTAAGCCTTGACAAAGCTGTTGAAGTGTTACTGAGATGTTATTTTTTTTAAAGGAATCCTGTTTATAATTTAATATAGGATACCCTCGCCATTCACAGATTTGCAATTTGCAGTTGTGAATATTCATGGTGTGCCACACCAACCCACACTCTCTCCCTGCACAGTGTGATGACACTTTACTGCACTCTGGTGATACTTTTACATTCAGTACATTGCAGTATTTCAGCATTAATCTGTTCCCTTAATCATGGCACCTGAAAGAAAAGTGAATGATAGTGCAGTGAGGATCCCGCCTGTTATCAGCACAGCGCAGTATTTGCGGATTTCCCCATTCACAGGGATCTCTAGAATGTATCCCCTGCAAATGGCAAGGGTCTCCTGTACTTTCTTCATGTGTAAGTTATAGTTTGAATTTTTATGATAATGAAGGCAGACAGGCATTTTGGCTAGCTTTCAGCACTGGCTGTAGACTAACCTGGTCTTTCTATACATTAGCTACAGAAACAAAGGTTCCAAAACCAAGAGGCAGACCCAAACTGGTGAAAACACTGTGTCCTCCAGAGAGTGACATGTGAGTTGGCTTATATAAAATCTCTTTGCATATTTTTAAAGCAAATGATTGTTTTTCATGAGTTAATAGAAGCGTTGCTGAGTTCCTACCCAAAGTTTGTTATGCATGTTACCTTGCTTCAGGAGATGAAGCAAAGAACTGTAAGGATGATGTGACAGCTTAAACTCCTGGATAATAAAAACATTAAGGCCTTTTCTTCTGTCCCTAACTTGCAGAAGTTATGTAGATATTTTTCTTATTTGTCCCTGTATATATTCATACCAGATGCCTACATTTATGATGAAAGAGAGAAGGACCACCCAACAAAAAACTATTAGCTTACTGAAGAGCCTTTTACATCTGCTTTATAAAAGGTCTGCCATTCCCCCGCCACAAAACAGAAATCCAACAAGCTGACATCAGGGGAACCCTAACACTTTTAAGGTTAGGGACAGACATTCAAAAAGCCTGAGCCTGAATTGATTCAATCTTTGCAGGTTATCCTAACCTGGCAAGATTGAATCAGTTTGCAACTGCATAGATGTTCTCTCTGAACTGAGGAATTCAGGCATATGCCTGCAGTGGCTCAGGCGAGAAGCCAGTGGGTGCTAGAGCAACCCTCTCTTCCTTTGCACAGGGCTGAGCTGAGGTGGGGATAGGGTTTGGCCAGGCCCCAGCAGAACACTCTGAGGGAGGTCTACCTGCACCATCCCAGACTTTTCCCTGCTCAAGGGGCAGGAGGTGGTGTGCAGTGTATGCATGTGGTGATGATATGGAGCTTTTCAATCTCCTCCCTGCTTCATCATACTGTCTGCAGCAAACTGACAGGGGAGCAAGCCAGCAGGGGGCTGAAAAAAGTATTTATTACCTCATCAGCAAAACAGTAGCCTCTCTCCATTACTTCAAACTCTTCTTAAACAGCTTACCTGTTGGTTAGCTTCAAACAGCCCTAAGTGGTCACTGTTTTGTCTGCCTGCCCCAGTGAAATTGAAGACAGACAGTCTCACACAGAGACACCTTGGCATTAACTAGCTAGCATATCACATGCCTAGGGGCTGGGGTCCCTGCTGTGGGAGATGGGAGCGAGGGCAGGATTTCCTGCTTGAGCAGTGGGGTGGGGGGGAGCCAGCAGACCGTACTGTGCCTGCCAAGTCTCTGCCAGAGCTTTGGCCAGGGAGCAGAAGGGAGGGGTTAGCCCTGCTGTGGAGCAGAGAGCCCCACCCATCCCAGAGAGCATGCTGGGGGTGTCTGCTTTATCTTAAACCAGCAAGGGGTCTGGGACAGACATTGCAAAAACTGGTTTGAGCCAAATCAGTTAAGTATAATACTATATTCAACCAGGTTTATCTCAAACTGGTTTCAGCCATTTTCAAACTGGTTTATGTGCACTGAACATCAGTTGTTACAGGTTTAAACTAGTTTCTGATCACTTAAATTGGTTTGTGTGTAATGTCTGTCCCTAGCCTTCATGTTTGTAAAGCTTACTTTTCCCTGTCTTGTAGCTTCCGTAATCTTCTCAGTCATCATGATGTTTCAAAGAATGAATCGATTGTTTATATATTTGAAACTTGATCTTTGTGATGTGCAGCTGTATAAGAAATGAGCCTTAAATCTTTCTAGTGTAACTAATTTAAGATTAGTAGTGGTGACCCAAACCCTGGTCCTGTAAACCCTTTTGCATGTGATTAAGCATGTGAGCAGTTCCATTGAAGTTGCTTATTAGAATGTTTTAAAATTGAGTATATGTATACATATTTGCAGGATTGGAGACCAGGTTCTTAAAAATAAGCCTGTATTTCTGAGGCTTCAATCCTCCAAATACTAGAGCATATGATTAAACCCTTTAGACTAGCTAAAAATGAGGATTATGAAGTTTAAGTATGGCCGGTATATAATTGACTAAAATTTTCTTAAACTTTTTAGAGTTCATGAGGAAGATAAGACCAAGAAAAAAGGACCAGAAGAAAAAACAAAAAAGCAGGTGAAAAAAGATGAGGAGAGTCAAAAGGAAGAAGACAAACCGAGGAAAGACCTTGATAAAAAGGAAGGAAAAAAGGAGGCTGAGCCAAAAAGGAAGAACGCTGCCAAAGTGGGCTCTGCATCAGCTTCTGATTCTGAGGAGGAAGGAGAAGAGCAGGAAGGTGATAAGGTATGTGTTCTCATTAATGTATGTCAGGACTTTTTTTTTTTCTTTTAGCTTTTGTTATAAAAGCTTCTTCAGAAAACACTAAGACTTTTTTGATTATTTGGAGAGGACAGAAGTAGAGTGTGGCTATCTAATTACATTCTAATCTAATCACATAGATTCTGTTACATCATCTTTGGGAGTTTGTGGCCTCTCCTTTTTTTCTTCTGGGGAAAGGAAAATAGTCAGGTTTCACAATTCTAACACGTGCACAAGAATCTCTTAGCCCACAGTGGTTGGTTAGGGTTAATTGTGTGGGAATTCCAGGTTCAAATATTTCTGCTGAATGGAACAATGCTGTAGGTCTAAAAATTATGGTGGGTAGGTTTAACTATTAATATTCTTGATTTGCAGTAGTCTAAAGACTCCTTCTCTCTCCCCACTCCAATCCCTAAACTCTGTTAAATGAAACAGAAGAAAAAAGGAGGAAGAAATTTTCAGGGAGCTCATAGAAGAAATGTGTTAAAAAGCCAACATGAGCGAGAAGTAGGAGAAAGAAAGCGCAAGCAAGAAGAGCAGATGGAAACTGAACCGTGAGTATAATTCTTTGTTGGCTGTGCAAACTTGTAGCAGTAATTGTAAGATTAATAAAATGAGACGCAAAATCTGAGAGAGAATTCCTTTTCAAATAGTTTGCAATTATATCTGCTAGTGGTCCCCCTTCCCCCCTTTCTTCCTAGTGCTATTTTTTTCTAATATTTATATGAACAGAGGGTCAATTTTTGTAATTCAGTAGATGAGATGAAGTGTGATTTGGGGGAGGATGGGAGAAAATATTATGATGCTTGTTATATTTTTTGGATTCCCTTTTCCAGTGACTTAGGCTTCCTAACATAAGCACAAAGTTGACAGATTCTGTTTAAAAATGTAGATACTAAGGATGCTTCCCATATTCAAGCCTGCTCTTGTGAAGAAAGAACTAATTCTGTCCAATAAAACTGTTCCGGCCTTTCATCTGGAATATATGAGGCTGAGAGGGCTGGGTCCCATTAACTCCGTGACTGGAATTCTCGTCAGGTTGTGGAATGCATAGGGTCCCCTGGAAAACATTTCCTTCTCTGTCTGGCAGCTGGAGTCCACACCGTCAGACAGAACAAGGAAAAGGTTCTGCCTTATGCTACTCTGGCTCTGCAAAGCCAATTGAGTGATTTCAAGAGCACTCTACACTCAGAAGAGAATTATCACAAACAAGCCAAGCATCCGCATGGAGAGAAGATACTGCCAGAAACTTGGGGGGGGTGGGGACAGTAGAAAGAAATCTGCCCTATTCTGGAGAGCAATTCCAGGAATGGGTGAAGAAGGAGTCACCAGGAGATCATGATGTACCCAGCCCCACAATTAGTGGGAGGGAGAAAGAAGGGGAGAACAAGGTAACAACTCTGGGAGAACAGCTAAGAAAACGGTCCCTCCCTCAACATGTAATGACAACATTTAACTCACGCCCTCTCTCTGCTAACTTTTCCGCACCCATTAACAGAAACCCAGCCTATTTTTGTCATTCTCCTCAGACCTTTCCTCTTTTCTTCTACCACTCCTTCCCTAGAGCACTAAACTAATTTCTCTTCCTGGCTAGCTGCCAAATGGTAAGCATCTCCTGCCTTACCATTTCTTTGCAACTGCTTTAATGTATTATGTAAATTCTGTAGTATATCTTTTATTTCTGCAACAAATTTGTAGTGTATTGTTTTGGTTATACTAATGTATAAAAAAAAAAAAAAAAAGCCTCTTCCTTTTGAAACAGGTGTCTAATTTGCTTCATATCTCTGAGGAACTAAGCCCAGGTGCACTGGAGTAATTATAGAGAGAAGCTGTTGGTTGCAGTATTGGGAAACAGCGTATCATGGACTATAGTGACCAGTGTTGATGCTAAATCTAATATAAAATATATATTTATATATTTTCTGTCTATGCTATCTTTCTGTAAGGTTCTCAGCCAGTTGAATGAAAATAAGATGACTTGTTCTTTGTCAGTTTATCTTAATCTCTAATAAGATGCCCCTTTATATCATTAGTATTGGCCATTTTTATCTGGGCCAAACAGATATTGTTGCTATTTCTCCTTAGGGGGGTCTGTATCATTGATAATAATAAGAAATCCTAAGGACTAAGAAATCCATGACTCCATCATTTTATAGATTATGAAAGGAAAGTATAGGACATGATGAGCATGAAAGGGGAAGGACTGACTTTTTTTCTGTATATCTTCTAACATCTAGTGAATTGAAAGCTTCAAAAGCAGTCAGTATATGAATTACAAAACATGCCCCTAAAGCCTGCTGGGACTTATCAAGCAAAGTGACAACTGAACGTGACGTACTGGAGATTTGTGATAACCAGTGGTTTGTCATAGTTACTGAACGTGTAGTGGAGTATCAAACTTTAGTTTTGCTTCAGGCTAAGATTTCATAACTTTAGTGGGGGGAGGTTTCTTCCCCCTTCCCCCTCACCCAAAGAGGGAGAGCCAGAAGATTTGAAAAATAATAAATAAATAGGCTAAAACCCTTACTCTTTACCCTTCTGTCCTTAAAATTAAAATGCAGTTTGATTTTTATATACAATTGATTTTACAATTTTGATTTTTAATATACAATATAACTAGTAGGATACTTAAGAATTTACTTTGTTTTGTAGATATCTTTACTTCATTACTGTTGTATTGTGCTGTTTTGTGGTGTTTGGGTTTTGGGAGGTTTGTTTTTGGGTTTTTTGGCTATATGATCACTTTTCCCAAATTCCTATGCATAATTGAGGTGGAATCATTTACCACTTTCAAAGTGTACTAGTCATTAAAATGGTCTTACAGTTAAAGATTCTGCATGCACAAATGTTTCATAGGTTACAGCTTTTTCTGTAGAATAAATAAAGAATAAAATTTAGAAATGCGTATTTATTTCCTTGACTTTTGTTTGTTTCCATTTGCTCTGAAAACACTAACTTCTGTTGATAGCATACCTATTATCTGGCCAGATACACTTTTCCATTTGCCAGTAGCATATCCAGTATATTATTTTCCAGAATATAATTCAGCACATGTGAATTCAAGGACTGACTACTTCATTTGCCTTTACCTTCAGTTATGGGAAAGCAAGTTCATCATTTTTATCAGGCATTATATTTGACAAAAATAGATTTCATTTAAGTGACTACAATCCTCTGAAGTTATATTTGACAAAAATGGACTACAATCTTCTGCCTACAGGATCTTCTTTAAATAAAAATGTAACCATTAGTTATACAAGATCAGGGCTTGCCTTTTCCCTTTTGCTAATGTTTCACTAAAGCATCTCTAAAACACATCTCATTAAAAGATGTTTTACATACAGCTTTTAAAAGATGTCAATTGTTGTAAAATCTTTAACATTTTTGATAGGCAGAGTAAAGAGGAAGGCAAGAAACCAGAAGTTAAGAAGATGGAGAAGAAGCGAGGTTAGTTTGAAGAAGCTGTTCAGACTTTTTAAACCTTTTAATTTTAAAACACAGATTGTGTCTTATTTCATCAGTGAGGAGTCTTTGGATCATAAGTCAAGGATACCTGTGCTGTGACTGCTTCCTGCAATTGCAGATGCAGAGCCAGCGTGTATGGTTTGAAGTAACTTCCTTCAGCAGTGCAAACAGCACTTCTAATGCACTTCTGTCTCGGCTGTTGTCATCCCAGCTTTTGATAGTATTTCAGCTGGGCAGCAGTGAGCAGAATCTTTCTCCTTAAGGAACCAAAGGTTCTAGTTCTCTGCACTCTGAATAAGACTGCTATAGGTGTTACTTTGTCCCCCTTGTTGTCTCATAATAGCAGAAAAAGTCAAGAGGTGTGTAGCTTTTAAAGTACTCCTCTACTGAAAACACTTAACTCTGCCAGAAGGGCCTCAGATTCCAGACAGTTGATATAGCCTCTGCATCCTCATACACCAGCCCAAATTCTTAATGAAACTTTTGCAGGGCAGATCACTCCCTTTTTCTTCTCTGCCATTTAATACTATTGTCTTTGGAATCGGGTTGGCCCTGGGAACAATCCAGATCACTTTTTTTTTTTTTTTCAATGCCATCCTCCTTTACTCTTTTCCCCTTAGTAGCTTTTCTTTGTTGTCTGCCCTGTCTCCATTATTTTTAGTAGAAGGCTCAGGATCCACAATGGAGAAGCAGTTGCCCTAGTTCTTTTAGAACCGAGTCCTTCAGTTAGTGTTCCTGTCACTCCCTTGAACAGCCCTTCAAGTGCTTCTATAGTAGCCCGCTCAGGATGTACTAATAGGAATGAGTGAAGCGTTGCTGTTTTTGGAGACCTTTTTTTCAATCTGAACCAGGAGAAGATTGACAGGTTGTAACAAATCTGAGCATCAATATTTGCGGGGGACGGGGAGGGGGCTCTTGCTTAAACGCGTCTGGCCAGATACATTTTTTCAGTTCCCAGTAGCACGTCCAGGATGCTGTTTTCCAAAATAATTCAGCATGTGAATTTAAAGGATTGACTACTTCCATTTGCCTTTACTTTCTGTTATGGGAAAGCAAGTGCATTGTATTTTACCAGACATTATATTTGACAAAACTGGACTACAATTAAGTGACAAGTTACTGCTAAGTTTCTAGGAACCCAGCTAACAACATTTAGATTCCTAGCTGAAGGTTTTTCTAAATGTTTATCTTTTGCTTCTAAACCTGGGGTTAATGATCATATTCAAATTCCAGAGTAACAGTTGGCTATAGCTATGAAAAACTGAAAGCTTATTTCTGTCTCCTACCATAGCATATGCTGAAAAGAGATGGCTTCATAGCTTGTCAACTACTGTCTAACTTTTTAACAATAACAACAGTGTTGTTGAACCAGTTCCTTTTTAAATGCTCCATAATGCTTATGATCAAAATAGTATATTTTGCATGGGTAGCTACTATAGACTGCTTAGCCACAACTGTTTTTAAAAAACCTTTTCTATGCCAGGAAATCAAGTTTGTTGAATTTTTGGGGGGTAATATTCTGGCTCAATGGATCAAACAGTCAAAATATTATTTTTAATCTTACAGAAACATCAATGGATTCTCGGCTTCAAAGGATACATGCAGAAATTAAAAATTCACTCAAAATTGATAATCTTGTGAGTATGCTGTGTTAGTTGGTGTACATGCATAGTGCCTTTAGCTAATATGTTTTGGAATGTATAGTTGAGATCTGATCCTGTGGGTGTTTTGAAAGGGGAAAGAATTCCTGCCGTTTACAGAGTGACCATTCTACTTAAATGAGAGTACTATAGACGTATGAAGAGCCCTTGGGTAAGCATGTTTAAAAAAAAATCCAAAACAACAAGATTCGTCAAAGTGGGTTCTAAAATTTTATTTTACTTTTCACCATTTTATCAGTTGTTTAAAATTTTTCGCTCACCTTGGACAAAGAAAATAAACATTTTGAACATGCACATTTCTTATGTACACGATTTCTAGAAGTGGTGTATTTGCATACAACTAAAACCTCACAACATCAAGCTATGTAGGGGACCGCTTAAATTCTATTATTTTCCTAACATTGCCAGTCTTCAGGTTTTAATTAATGATGAACATACAAGTGTGTTCTGTTTTTGTCTTTAAAAATAACCAAACTTACTTTCTGATTATGAGCACTTGGATGGACTTTGAGTGTGCTTGTTTGGAGAAACTTCCTGAAATGTACAGAACTTGTGAATTTTCTCTCTTGGTTACAGCTTAGGATTGAGGGAAGGATACTTTTTCATCTGCTTCCTTGTTGGATATGTTGTTCTTGGTCTGCCTCTCTCCTGCCATTATGTGATATTCTAACATAGGTGGGAGAAAAGGTGGATCTGGCCAGCAGCTAGACTCCATTTCCCAGGAGCCCCTGCCTGCATGGCTGGGGATGGTCTCCATGGAGACCCCAGCTGCTGTGCTGTGATAGCATAAGGCTGGGGTTGCCATGGAGACCAGCCTCAGCTGTGCTGGCAGGGTGCAGGACAGGGAGCTGCAGGTATCTTGTGGCAGGGGCAACTTGGTCAAATTGCAGTTCTGCCCTGGCCCCAGCCATGCAGGCAAGGGCTCCTGGGAAATGGAGTCTGGCTGCTGGCCAGATCCAGCCCATGGGCTGGACTTTGCCCACCCCTGTTCTAACAGCAGTGAAGAAGCAAGTTGTTAGGGTGCAGCTGGCTGTTGGGTGGGGGGAAGAAAGGAATGGGACACTGTTTTTAGGTCCCTGCTTGCCTAATTGCTTGTGTTGCCATTTCTTCACCCATCATATGGGAAATGATATAAGGAAACTTGACTGCCTGCTCCTCATGCCTCTGTCCCTTGTGCTGTTTCCAGAACCAACAAGCAGCAGACATTTCAGCAGCCCCTGATGGTGGCAGCTTGAACTGTAGCTCAGTACTTGGGGGTTCAGTCTGGCATCTGCTGGCTGAAGCCAGACCTACAGCACCATCCTTCAATTGGGAGTCCTGAGCTGTCAAATGCTATCAGACATCATTCCCAGAACTCATGCACAGAAAAATGTCCAAGAGCCGGTAACACTGAAATCCAAAAATGGGGTTTAATTGTCATTTAAGATTTAAAAAAAAAATACCTGTAATACTATTTTTAACTTTTTAATTTTTTAAAATTTTATTTATTTTTATTTATATGATCCTCAGTTTTATCTAAATACAGCGTTGCTCTACTGGCCTGGCCTTATTGTTCTACGTCAACTAAACAAAATTTTAAAATTGAGTGAATTTGTATTGGTGTAAAAGATATTAGCAATAGTCTTTCTTATGGGTTTATAGTAGTTACACGGTATACCAAGTATGTCATACTTCCCCCTTCCCCCTCCCTCCTTCCTAACCTGCCTCTGCCCCCAGCCAGATCCAGATATGGTAGCAAAGCAAGTGGAAGCAGTGGGAGTTAATGCAGCCATTGCTCACCCCCCACCTCCAGCACATGTTGCCACATGACACTGTAATTTTGACATCCCTGCAGTATGCAATCATAACAAGAAAAAGATTGGTTGCAGGGTAGAAACACACTGTTCATCCAGAATGTCCCACCTGATTATGCTTTATCATTAAGCCAACATGAGGTCTTAGTCCCACCTCTTTCCTTGCTGCCTTCCTTAAAATAAATTTTGGCAATTAATAACATCCATGTATATGTGATTGAAGATCCACTTTGGTTGGAGATACCTAGGAAACAGCTTGTTGAAGAAGAATAGTGAAGGCAAGAGAAGGACTGTAGTAGGATTTGTTTTCACCTTGAAAGCTGGTGTTAGAATTTGGCATACGTGGATATGTGGATCTTACTCATTTTAACCATGATATTAGATGTTATCAAAAGTATCAGAGGAAGAGGGAAGAAAGGGCTGAGGAAGAGGGCTTCTCTGGTGAAGTCTTGAGGATAGCTGAACTTGTGGAGTCACCTTAAGCCCAGTATTTTCACCTTGGGTATTAAAAATGTGAATTCACAGAGGTAGCAGAAAGTGCAAAGCGAGTTTTATTTTTGGCATTAGTACCAAGTTATGTGTAACTTTAGTATGGGTTACAGAAGAGAACTTAGATTTGACACTTTGAACCAACTGCTGTGTGTTGAAACCAAATGCTGAAGTGTTTGAGTCAAGCTTAATTACTGTATCTCCTATGAAAATATGAAGTACTGTTTCTTTGGCATATGGTAGGAATTAGTTGAAGTTGTCTGGTGTTCTCATCTATAGAGCTGGGTGTGTTGATCATTTCCATGTTCTACTAAGGTTTTCTAGCTGCCAGTATTTTTTTTTTCCTTGTCCCTGAATTTCTGATAGAAAGGCTGCATTCTTGTTCTGAGTAAATTTTCCAGGTTTTTCTCCAAAAATGGAAACTAAAATCTAGATAATTCTGGTTTCTGAACATTGTTTTTAACAAAAATGGATCTTAAAATTGCAATATATGT